GCAGGATAGTTCCCTTGTGCACGTGCACAATCGGCGACATGGAGACTTTAAGCCTCTCCACTGCACGATTGACTGCTTCAGGAAGCAAAGCAGGCTGAGAGCTATGGACTTTCTTATCTGAATGTGAAATTTCAGCAAATGTCCGATCCTGCATAATCTCTTCTGCCGCTGTTGGCCTTACGATCTTCAGAGTGTTGAACAACTCTTTGAAGCTGTATTGGAAAAGCATCCCGGAGAAAAGTGTGTCATATTGTCCAGGACGCCGTACCAAAACAACTTCAAGGAGCTGTTCAACACCCTGAAGATCGTAAGCCCATAGCTCTCGGCCTGCTTTACTTCCCGGAGCAATCAATCGTGTAGTGGAGAGGCTTAAAGTCCCATCTCACCGTTTGGGAACTGTCCTACAAAAGAGACTGTGTCATCCTCCTGAAACCGACTGGATTGCAAAAGAAACTGATCGACAGGTTGGTAGGGGTACTGTTATGTTAAGGAAACCATTTAAGAGTGAATTTGGATTCTCTTTTGTATCTGTTCATCCTTACCTCACCCAAAAATGCAAGTCGCAAGTGTCAACCAATCGAATATATATGCTAGCAGTCGAAGTTCATTCCTGGTGAAGGGTCAAAATAAAATTCATCCTACAGTTTGTCCACCTCATACTAGTATGATGCTGAATCAAAAAGTGCTCATCTTCAGCGATTACATGTGGAATCTATACCCCACCCCACCCCACCCGCACTCTCTTCTTTATTCACCAACCGATTCTCATTCTCATTCTCATTACAATGCATTTCATTTCATTATTAAAGATTCATGTACCTAACATTATGTATTGTCAAACATGCATGGTCTGGGACTTTCTCCAAAATGCCTCGGGACCAACAAATGGGCCTTGTCTACCTACTTTGTACCTCATATCAGTGGAGTTTCCGCAAAATTTTGATTTGTTCAAAATTTTGACTGTTGAAGGCATAATATAAAAATCCTCAATAAATATAATTAGTTAGTCTATTTTTTAACTCAGCCCATCAGACTCAGCCCAAATATTTCACCCAAGACCAAATCATTTAGTCAAACCCAAACCCATAGTTTAATCCAAGTGTATTTGAGCTTGTTGGGTTTGTTATATTATTGTTGAGATTTAGAGAAAGGTTGATTAGACAGAGATATATAGATAGAGTAGAGAGGGAGAGATAGAACCGAGGTGGTATTTCTTTTTTTCCTTTATGATTTGGGAATCCGTTGTCATTACTTTTCGAATGCTCTACGTAAATTTATTCGAACTTAATAGCCTACAAACTAATTCCGACAAGACAATTCATATTAAGTAAACTATGTCTGGCAGGCCAGACCTGTAGACATCGAGGGTTTAAACTCATCACCTCACAGTCACAAGCGATTCCGGTGAGTTTCTAGTGAGAATAGAAGCCCTTTCCAATGGTTGATTCGTCGCTGATTGGAGTTGAAAATCGTCATCCAATTTTGAGCGAATCTGGTGGCCGAACTGTGCGAAAAAATAGACACGAACAACAAGTGTTTGCAATTTTTTCAATTCGATTGCATTTGTTTGTGGTTTTTAATTTCCAGAAGTTTAGATATTAATTGTGTTACTTTATATTTGATTTCGATTTAAAATTGTTTCAGATTTTATTCGATTATTTATTTTCTCTAATTCATTATCGTATTTTGTTTTCGAATTATTGTAGAAATAATATCCAATCAATTGGAATATAAAGTCACGAACACATATAAATGTAGTTATATCAATAGCGCAACAATAGGATGTATCATCATTCTTTTTTTTTTTTTTTTTTGTCACTTCAAATGTTTATCCATATTATTATTATTATTATTATTATTATTATTATTATTATTATTATTATTATTATTTATGTTAAAATATGAAATTGAAATTCTCTAATTCAATTGTAAAAATACGTACATATTTATACAAATCGTTTAAATAATGCAAGAATCCTATAAATCTCATAACTAGCAGAAATATAATACATTGTTTGTAAATATTATTTAACACCCCTCATCAAACTCAAAATATGATCAAACAAACTTGAGTTTGTCAGAAGTGATCGAAAAAATATAGTTGAGATCTTCCATGTACGAAATTGAATTTGCCAAGATTGACTGAAGGTGGTGTAGCCGTCTACTGGATCAAAGTCAGAAGCAGAACTCTCAACACCGTTAGAGTTGGAAACAAGACTCGCTTGCTCACAACAGAACTAGAGTCGAAAACAGGATTCGCTCACTCTATAGAGCTAGAGTCGGAAACAGGATTTGCTTGCTCACAACAGAGCTAGAGTCAGAAACAGGACTCCCTCGCACTCAATAGTGTTAGAGTCGAAAACAGAACTCTCAATGGTGTTGAAGTCGAAAATAGACTATGTTAGTGGAGTAGTAGAGAAGGAGATGACATGAAAATAACAATATGACCGAGCATGACTGTGAATAGAAGCAGATACATATAAAAATATATATGAGATATAACGGGTCATAGATGTACTCGGAGAAAATTTGGCTCTGATACCATTTTAAAATATGAAACTAAAATTCTCTAATTCAATCGTAAGAATACGTACACATTTATAATGAAATCCAAATTGTCTAAATAATGCAAGAATCCTATAAATCTCTTAAATAATATAACTAGCATAAATATAATATATTGCTTATAAATACTATTTAACAATTTAGTTTCTCAATTTTTTTCCAAAAACATTCATTGATCATTCATGTTCCGTACAAATCAAACATTACATCAATCCAACCATTATTTCACCTAAAAAACATCAAGTAAACAAAATTATTTCAATTGAATCTTTCGAAGATCATATTTTTCAACAATTACGCATAGAGATAAGCATTATGCCTTCGACTAGTTGACTATCGATTACAGAGAGAGTCCAGGGGGAATCGTACGATAACACTTCTTCAAATTTCTTTCTTCATTCTTTTTCCGGTCTCTTAAACTCATTGACAAGAACAGAATTGGCATCGAGAGGATCACCAATTTGGTTCGAAAGTGTCGCTTGAGCTGTGCAATGGTTTATACAAAGGCCCATACAAACTAATATTGTTGCCGGGCGCCTACAACCCTTCATGCACTCCGGTGAAACAACTTGCCTCCGACGATATAACCACCGCCATTAACATAACGAAAATGATAGTTTTCATTTTATTGTAATATGTTCTTTCAGCAACAGAGGTTGATTTATAATAGAAAATTAACTAAATATGGAATAATTGAGGAGAAAAAATAAATTTAATTTCTTGATTCTTTTAATCTATCAAACTATTAGAATATATAAATATATATAATGGATAAACGTAAATATTATTAACTTATTAGCCAATATCCACTCTATCATATATGATTATATACTTTATTATTCAATATTTGCTAAATCAAAATATATCTCAAACTTTATTATAAAATCACCAAATTAAGTATAAGATCATTCTCAAGAATATCATAATTAAGTTCTAACAATTTATATATGTTTTTTCTTTTTATATTGGATTATAATCATTTTTATAAAGTATTAAAAAAGAAAGTGATATGTTATTCTTATAATGTAATATTATTCCTTTAATTATCATCGTGCTAGTAAATAATACAATTTTATTACATTATTAACAAAAAAAAAAAAGTGTATTCAATCTAGAGTTTACTAATTTTTTTAAAAATTTTTTAAAATTTTGGTGTATTCAATTCACATTTTTTAAAGTCTTTAAAATCCGATTGTATTCAATTCAGATTTTTAAAAGTCTATTAAAATTTGGATATATTCGATTCAGATTTTAAAAGTTTCTTCTTGGTGTATTCAACAATCCATGAATTTTGTTAGACTCTTTTGTAAAATTGTTAATAAATTATTCTGTATAAGATCTCTGGTTACCATATGGGATTTCTATGATTCTAAAAATCTAAAAATACACATTACTTTCTTTTATTTAATATGTATTTAATATTACCTGTACGTGTTCCAGCCTAGTATCTCTCAGTACCCAACAAAGTATTTTGGCAAAAAAATCAGGAATTAAGGATGAGAAAAGCGAAAATACATTTGTGTTTTTCATGTTTGCTTGAAAGTTTGATTGGAGCTGAAAATACTAAAATTTTGAATTGAAAATTAAATAATTTTAATGTGATATTTTAGTATAAAATAAAATTTTGATATTATATTATTTAATAAAAAATAGATATTTGATTTAATTATTTTAAGGGTAAAAAGAGAAAAGTGATGAATTATAAAAATCATGAAAGACAACTATGTCTAGCTTAAAAAATACTCCAAAAGTCGAAAGTACTAAATAGATAAAAGATGTGATGAGAGCATAAGAGATGGCACAGTGACTGAGCATAAAGACATACAAAGCACGGATGTGCTTCTATTTAAGCGGTTCAATTCGAGCGCAAATGCAAACATGCTTAATTTGTATGACTTCTCGAACATGCATATTTCATCTATTTTTGTCGCATAAGGACATACAAGAGAATTCGTATAAAAAGACTATAATTTTTATTTAAGACAAATACCACTTATTTTATTAGATTATCTTCTTTATTTACTTAAATTTTCAACTAAATTTCCAAATATATCTCCAATTATCCATTATTTTTTTAATAAAATATTCATTTTTTTTAATATTCATACCGGGTACCGGGGCCCAAGTGAGCTAATTTTAATGGATGGAGTTAGTACTATTTATTGATTATAGTTATATATGCTTTAATATTTTAAAAATCATATTCAAATTTGTGCAACTAAGAGCAGAATATTAAATTTCAAGTTACAGCTAAGAATGTATGTAAATATATATATATAATATATATAATCATGCTGATCTGTTATAATATTAGTCACTGATGATCAATTAATTAATGACATATAATAATAATAATTAACAATCACAGTAAATTAAACAAGATGCTTCAAATATTAAAACGAAGAGAGAGAGTTGACTTGAGATGACTGATGAGATCGAATCGAAGATTTCAAAGTTCTTCCTGAGATGAGATGATATGCTTCTTGTTCTTTTAATTGTTCAATCCAAATTGATTGTGAAGTGAAGGAATTAAATCGCCTTCTTCAGATCTGTAAAGGTAATTCAACTGCTTCACATATCATTTAGTCTCCATTCTGCGCTTTAAATGAATTTAACAAACTCATTAATTAATTATCTGCAACTGTTATTATTTGTATGTTATAAAGTGTTAAAGAAACTATATATGGTGGCTCATTCATCCGATTTGTTAGGCTCTTTTACTTTTGATCCTTAGTTGTGACTAGTGAGATCTATTTTTATTGCCTGTCGGGAAGTTGATCTTGTTGGTAAAAAGAATGCGAGAACAAATCGAATATGGTGGAAAAGGCTACTTTGATTTACTTGATATATGTATGAATATTCATGCATTGATTGAAAATACCAAATTAATTATTCCAACATATCTCCTCCATGGAAACTGTGGGTCCAATTTGGGATATTCTGAAATGCTTATGTGGTTGCACAGTCAACACTGCCAACACAATCAAAGACCTGGAAACAAATGTGGAAGCCTTAGAAAATTCAATGAAACAACTGAACGAAGTTCGTGAAGATGTGAATAGAAGGGTGGTTCTCGAAGAGGAAAGGCAGATGGTACGCACTAATCAGGTCGATGGCTGGTTGGAAAGGGTCGCGGCGACTGACAAAAGTGTTGAGGAGTTTCTGGAAAGGGCTAGTCAGAAAAGGAATTGTTGTACGTGCTGTTGGTTGAGATATAAGCTTGGCAAGGAAGCTGTTGTGAATCGGGAAGCTGTGGAGGAGCTAATAAGGAAAGGACTAGCATTCGATACGGTAGCTGAGGCGTTGCCGCGTGGTGTAGGGGATGAGAGACCTCTTGGGAAGACAGTAGGATTGGATTCACCTCTTGCACAAGTGAATAGATGGATTGAGGATGATAATGTGAGGATCATCGGGATATATGGAATGGGGGGTGTGGGGAAAACAACGCTTTTGAAGAAGGTTAACAATACTTGTCTAAGTACGAATCATGGGTTCGATAAAGTGATTTGGGTGTTGAATTTTAGATGCCCGATTCTTAAAGCGGAAGCGTACCTGATGAAGCCATATACAAATCTTGAGTGATTAAAGGTTTGGTCTTCCAAGATCAGAGAGCCGGCTTCTTTTCTGTCTTTAACGGGTGAGGAGCAGAAACTGCAAGGAGAATCAGATCTCTTTTACGGCGTGCTGATCATGGGGACCTAACCCTAGCCTATTTATAATAGGGCAAACATAATTGCAATTACAATTATGCCCTTAATTAATATTATTAATTTGTCACGTCACCAAAATAATAATATTATACGGGTAGCTGCACTTTCATTCCATAACAATCAAACCTATCACTCAATAATTAATTATATTAATTAGATCACTTAAATAATAAGACTGAATAAAATAATGACTTTAACAACATATTCGATACACATATTTGATCCCAAATCCAATAATCTCCCACTGGATCTAGTATGTCTCTGAATGAACATATTGTTCCTTATGAGCTCAATTTTCAGTCATTATAAAACAAGGATTGCAACAATCTGGTCCATCAATCACAGCAATATAGGACTAAATAAGCATTCGCCGTATCAACAACTAAACTCACAGTAATCACAAATATCAGTGTAATCAAATGACATAGATCAATCATGGAACGTGCAGAGAGAAAATTACATAAGTGTGATCTAAATATGTCAATTTTCTACTGGTCCAAACTGAATGAGATCGTAAATTACTTAATCATAATGTCCAAAACATCATAACCGAAATAATGATCAAAAGAGTAAAAAACAAATATCAAGTGAACGACAAAAGAATGTAAATGCATACTCCCACTACAGTGAAGCTTCCTCAAATTGTAACACACCCATATGAGCAGTATGCTCATGGAAGACCTTAGGCGTTACACCTTTAGTTAGGGGGTCTGCTACCATAGATTTCGTCCCTAAGTGCTCGATCGAGATATGATGATCTTTCACTCTCTCCTTCACAACTAGGAACTTAATGTCAATATGTTTTGACCTGGATGAACTCCTATTGTTGTTGGAGTATTCAACGGCTGAATTGTTGTCACAGAAAATCTTGATGGGTTTTTCAACCATCGGAATGATTCGCAGCCCAGCGACAAAGTTCTTTAGCCAAATCGCTTGCTGTGATGCCTCAAAACACGCCACGAACTCAACTTCCATCGTGGAACTGGTAACGAGTGTCTGTTTGGCACTGCGCCAAGCGATGGCCCCACCAGCCAACATATAAACATAGCCAGATGTAGAATTCCTACTATCTTGGCATCCTGCAAAGTCGGAGTCAGAGTATCCAACGATCTCCAATTGGTCTGACCTCCTATATGTGAGCATGTGATTACTGGTTCTCTTCAGGTATCTCATCACCCTCTTGTCTGCCTTCCAGTGATCCAATCCAGGATTACTAAGGTATCTGCCTAACACACCGACTATGTATGCAATATCTGGACGCGTACATACTTGTGCATACATGAGGCTCCCAACTGCCGAGGCATAGGGGATTTTTTCCATCTCCTCAATTTCCAGATTTACTTTAGGGCATTGGTTGAGACTTAATTTCTCTCCTTTAGCTATAGGGGTATCTCCCGGCTTGCATTTCTGCATGCTGAATCGCTCGAGTATTTTATCAATATAGCTCTTTTGAGATAATCCGAGAATACACCGAGATCTATCACGATATATTTGGATCCCTAATACAAAAGATGCTTCACCAAGATCTTTCATTTCAAAGTTACTCGAGAGAAATTTCTTAGTTTCGTGCAACATGCTCACATTATTTGTGGCAAGCAAAATGTCATCCACATACAAAACCAAGAAAATAAACTTGCTCCCACTGAACTTATGATAAACACAATCATCAACCACATTCATCTCAAAACCATATGAGAGAATTACTTGATGAAACTTGTGATACCACTGTCGAGACGCTTGTTTGAGCCCATAGATGGATTTTCTTAATTTACAAACCATTTGCTTTGGGTCACCGACCTCAAAAGTTTCGGGTTATACCATATAGATCGTTTCATTAATGTCACCATTCAGAAACGCCGTCTTAATATCCATTTGATGGAGCTCTAAATCAAAGTATGCCACAAGAGCCATGATTGTCCTAAAAGAGTCCTTCGAAGAAACCGGAGAGAAAGTCTCTTTATAATCAATCCCCTTTTTCTGAGTATAGCCTTTAGCTACAAGACGTGCCTTATACCTCTCCACATTACCATTTGCATCCCGTTTGGTTTTAAAAATCCATTTGCAACCTACTTGTTTTGCACCTTCTGGCAATGGGACAAGTTCCCAAACTTTATTGTCTTGCATTGACTTGTACTCATCATGCATCGCATCAATCCATTTATCTGAATAAGGACCCTTCGTGGCATGATAAATATTAATTGGATCATCCTCAGTCATGCCATCATTATCCTCACTTTCTTGAAGAAATGTCACATAATCATCCGGAATGACATTTCTCCGTTCTCTAGTGGATCTACGCAATTGCGTTGGCTCTTGAACTGTATGTTCTTGAGTTTGTTGAGTTTGTTCCATAAGCATAGGTTCTTGTTCTATACGAACGGGTTCCTCGGTCGCACTTTGAAACTCTATGGGAGCTGGAATGACTGCTAACTCATGAGGTGTTTTATCAATCACATCAGTGATTTCTTGATCCTCAAAAGTAAAATCTAAAACTGTATTTCTCCCCCTAAACTCAACATCCTCAAAGAACTTGGCAGTAGCCGTCTCAAAAATAGTTCTTGATGTGGGATCATAAAATTTATACCCCCTTGACCGTTCCGAGTAGCCAATAAAATAACTGTTAACTGTACGAGGTGCTAGCTTTGGTTCATTTGGCCTATAGGCCTTCGCCTCAGCTGGACAACCCCACACCCTAAGATGATTTAAGCTAGGCTTGCGCCCAATCCAGAGTTCATAGGGTGTTTTGGCAGTCGCCTTAGTTGGCACTCGATTAAGGATGTAGACTGCTGTCTTTAATGCTTCTCCCCATAATGATGATGGCAAAGTAGATTGACTAATCATACTTCGAACCATATCCTTCAATGTGCGGTTTCGTCTCTCAGCAACACCGTTCATGCTAGGTGAACCGGGCATGGTGTATTGAGGGACGATTCCACTCTCCTTAAGGAAGTCAGCAAAAGGACCTGAACGTTGTTCACCCGAGCCATCATTTCTGCCGTAATATTCTCCTCCATGGTCAGATCTGACAGTCTTAATGCGTTTGCTTAGTTGATTTTCAACTTCAGCCTTAAATGCTTTGAACATGTCCAGTGCCTCAGATTTTTCCTTAATAAGGTACAGATGACCATATCGAGAATTATCGTCTATGAATGACACAAAATATTGTTGACCTTTCCACGAAAGAGTGGGAAAAGGCCCACAAATGTCTGTATGTATCAATTCTAAGACATCCGTAGCTCGATAAGCATCTATCCTTTTAACCTTGGTTTGTTTACCCTTAATGCAATTGACACAAACGTCAAAGTTTGAAAATTTTATGGAATCAAGGATTCCATCCTTAATGAGTCTTTCAACTCTTTTTCTTGAAATATGACCTAAACGTTTGTGCCACAATAAACTAGAGTCATGCAATTTTCGCTTAGTACCTTTTGATTCCATATTAAGTGCCTCATTATAGGAAACCAAAATATCGAGCATATATAAACCGTCATTCACCAAAAAAGTACCAAAACCAACCAAACATGAATTAAAAGACAACTCAACTTTATTGTTTCCAAAAGAACAATGATAATCGAATTTGTCCAAATAAGAAACAGAAACCAAATTCCGTCTAAATGACGGTATAATAAAAATGTCTTGCAATTCAAGAAAATGCCAGTACTCAATAACAACTTGAAAATGCCCACGGCTTCCACCTCTACTGAGTCCCCATTTCCAAAGTAAATGCGTCTTTCAGCATCAGTTGGGTTTCAGTAGTTCAGACAACCCTGCATTGAAACACTGATGTTAGTAGTTGATCCAGAGTCTAACCACCAAGTATTTCGAGGTACTGAAGCTAAATTAACCTCAGAACAAACCAAAGTAAGAAACGTACCCTTCTTCACGCGCCAATCGTGAAACTTAGTACAATTCTTTTTCTCATGTCCAGGTTTCTTGCAAAAGAAGCAAGTCTTTTCAGGACGAGCCCGAGGAGCTGGAGCTGGAACATGAGCCTTAGCCGTCTCAACCTTAACGGCCTTATATTTTCTCTTATTGCCGTCTGCATCCTTTGAGGTATCCACCACATGTACCTCTTCAGTCTTATTATGCTTCATCCTTTCTTCTTCCTCAACACAGTGAGAGATGAGCTCATTAAGAGTCCACTTCTCCTTTTGACAGTTGTAACTGACTTTAAACTGATCGTATTGAGTAGGAAGTGAGAGCAAAACCAATAGGACTAACATGTCCTCTGAAAGGTCTAACTTAAGTGCTCTCAACTTAGAAGCAGTATTAGACATGTTCAGGATGTATTCCCTTATATTTCCTTTGCCGCTATACCTCATGGTAATAAGACTCTTCAGAAAAGTACTCATTTCCGCCTTATCGCTTTTTGTAAAGCGTTTCTCAATTTCGACAAGGAAATCATTAGCAGTAATGATATCATCAGATATCGTGCCCCTAAAGATTTCTGGAATGCTTTTCTTCATGATCATTAGACTAAGGCGATTAGACCTATCCCACTTCTCAAACAACTGTTTTTCATCTGCAATGCTTTCTTCCGTAGGAGAAGGGGGTTGGTCTATCCTTAATGCCAAGTCTAGATCCATACAGCCCAAATGAATCAATATTGATTCTTTCCAGTGCTGATAGTTGTCCCCAGACAGTATTGGGACTGAATAGTTATAAGATACTATAAGATTTGATCATGGAGATAACAAGGAATTAATATACACATAAGTACTCAAGTAGCATAATGAAACTCAAAATAAAATAATGCAATCCCATCTCAAGACACTAAACGCAACATTAATGTTTAATCTTTGGATCAATGCCATTAACTGCAAGCAGTCATCTTGTTGCAATAATCATATACGGATAATAAGGTAATGTCAAACAGTAAC